TAGGGGCTGTGTGTGTGTGTCTGTCCGTGTGTAGGGGCTGCAGTGCATGTGTCTGTCCATGTGTCCGTCTGTGTGTAGGGGCTGCTGTGTGTCTGTCTGTCTGTGTGTCTGTCCGTCCGTAGGGGCTGTGTGTGTGTGTCTGTCCGTGTGTCCGTCTATGTGTCTGTCTGTGTGTAGGGGCTGCTATGCGCATGGCCTTCCGGGTGTCCATCTGGGTGTAGGGGCTGCTGTGCGTGTGTCTCTCCGTGTGTCTGTCCATGTGTAAGGGCTGTGTGTGCGTGTTCGTCTGTGTGTAGGGGCTGCTGTGTGAGTGTGTCCATGTGTCTGTCCATGTGTAGGGGCTGTGTGTGTGTGTGTGTCCGTGTGTAGGGGCTGCAGTGCATGTGTCTGTCCATGTGTCCGTCTGTGTGTAGGGGCTGCTGTGTGTCTGTCTGTCTGTGTGTCTGTCCGTCCGTAGGGGCTGTGTGTGTGTGTCTGTCCGTGTGTCCATCTATGTGTAGGCATTGTATGTGTGTCTGTCCACGGGTAGGGGCTGTGTGTGCGTGTCCGTCCGTGTGTCCATCCATGTGTAGGGGCTGCTGTGTGTCTGTCCATCTGTGTGTCTGTCCATGTGTAGGGGCCGTGTGTGAGTGCATCAGGATGGCACGTGTCTGTGCACCGGGGCGATGTGTGCTGGCATGTGTGACCCCCAAGACCCCCTGCCCCACACTCAGGTGATTCCTCCCATCAGAAATCTGCCCCTGCCGCCTGTTCCCAGGAGAGGGGTGTTGTGCCCGGAGCCGAGCAGAGCCGACGTGGCGGGAGCTGGAGCAGGAGTGGCAGCACCTGGAGCTGCATCCTGGAGATGGCACAGCATGGAATGGCACAGCTTGGCACGGCACAACATCATGCAGCATGGCATTGCATGGTGCGTTGCAGCACAGCATGGGGCTGTGCAGCATGGCACGGAATCATGCAGCATGGGATCATGCAGCATGGCACGGGGTGGTGCAGCATGGCACGGGATCATGCAGCACGAGATCATGCAGCATGGCACGGGGTGTTGCAGCACGGCACAGGATCATGCAGCATGGGATCATGCAGCATGGCATGGGATGGTGCAGCACGGCATGGGGTCATGCAGCACGGCACGGGGTCATGCAGCACGGCAGCCCCATGAGCAGGGTCCCCGTGAGCAGTGTCCCCGTGAGCTGCATCCCCACGGCTGCATCCCCATGGCTGCATCCCCATGGCTGTATTTCCACAAGCAGCGTCCCCGTGAGCTGCATCCCCATGAGCAGTGTCCCCATGAGCAGCGTCCCCGTGGGTGGCATCTCCACGGCTGCATCCCCACGAGTAGTGTCCCCACAAGAAGTGTCCCCACGAGCAGTGTCCCCATGGCTGCATCCCCACAAGCAGCGTCCCCATGAGCTGCATCTCCATGGCTGCATCCCCATGAGCAGTGTCCCCATGAACGGCATCTTCATGGCTGTATCCCTATGAGCAGTGTCCCCACGAGCAGCGTCCCCATGGCTGCACCCCCATTAGCAGCATCCCCACAGCTGCATCCCTACAAGCGGCATCCCCATGAGCAGTGTCCCCACGAGCAGCATCCCCATGAGCTGCATCCCCATGGCTGTATCCCCTCTCACGGCATCTCCAAGTGGGATCGGGGCTGCACTGGGCCCTTGGGAGATGTCTGGGGTGGGGTTTCCTCCCTGGGAGGCATCTCCTACAGGATTATCCATGGGGTTCCAGTCCCTGGGGACATCCCTGAGGGGGAATCTGGTCCTGGTGCATCCCTGGGGCTCTGGAGCATCCCCACGGGGTCTGTCCCCAGGGCTTCCCTGTGGGGT